CTCGAAAGAGTTAATAGTAGTGTAAACAGGGACTTTACTCAACATATCAATAGTGTGTACAATTTAAAAGCTCATAACAAGATTCATATAACGATATAAATCTATCAAACATTCGTTAATCATGCTTTTCACCCCAAAACGAGAAATTAGTAAAAAGGGGCMRTGAAACTCACCTYTCGATATAGAGCTTTGTAAGATAAAGCAATGCGATCTGAATACCGTGCTAACTCAACGGTTCCCTATCAATAGGAATAACCAAAATCATCACTTATTGATTCATCTCTACCTATGGGGTTTAATAAAGCCTAAGTCCATATTTGCCCACTTTTATTCAAAAATATTATCCATAGTYCAAATATACATATTGTCCATATGCTCATTAATGAGTTAATTTATAACGGAAATGTTGCTATAATCCCATAGAATATCAATTTTACAAAATTTATCCAAATCCAAAATTTCAGATTCTGGATAGAAACTTAGGTTACAAAAATGATCCAATAATGAGACTTAAAAAATGAATTTAATTCCCATAGTTTTATATGGTTTATAGCATTGAGTTATAGCCATCGTGACCAAATTTCATGAAGATTGGGTTAGAGATGGTGCTTCAAATATTTCATGCAATGCAACTTATCACAACTGAAATGACAGATTACACCATGTTAGTAAAACACTCATAAAAAGAGTTCTACTTGGTGTTCTACAAAGATTCAAGTTGGATTGGAAACCTAACACTTATACAAAACGTTTAAACTAAGAATCATTCATTTTGGATCAGTTGAGAGGAATATATGACACCTTAAAGTCACATGCACACATCTGCCATCAATTGACAGATTGCACACCTAACTTATAAATATCGGTTCATGCCTCAAAACATCGTATTTTTGAGTGAGACTGGATTCAAATGAATCCTAACTCATAAGATAAAGTTTTAGAAGAAAAATCATACATTAAGGACAAACAAGGAAAAAGATACCAGCATACAAATTAAAAGTTACCTACTGGTGGTCTCACAGTTTACACACCTATAGAGTTTTAGGTGTTTGGAGATCAAAACTCCATAATTTTATATGATTCCACTTTCTTGTAGGAGAAAATCCATAAAGKTAACTCYCAAAAGAAGAATCATCCTTTTTCATTGAGTTAAGAGAGAGATATGATCGATGGAACACACATATACAAATCTGTCAAAATCGGACAGATTGCATGTTCATCTTAYTTTAAGTAAATTAAACCTCCAATMACCACCATATCGAGTGAAATCRGTGGCATTTGAAAGGTATCTCATTAAACTAACATCCAGAAGAAAAATCAACAATTTTGGATGATTACCCAGAAAGTTATGACCATTCAAAGTAGGGTTTACCTATTGGAAAATCTCATATGCATAGATATAACGTTTTGAGCATTTGGGGGGTCAAAGCTCAATGATTTTGAGTGAGACMAAATGCATTGCAACCCCAAMTCAATAAMTAAACTTTTAAAAGAAASCTCATAACATTTGAACAAGCCATTTACAAAATATGGMCGATTTGTGCACATGCACATAATCTGTCAGCACCAAAATATAAGATTTTTAAGAAATAAACTCACATAAAATCATGATTTTACCTATCTTTTTAAGTTCTAATGTTTGGGTCATAGATTACCACCATCATATAAACATTTTTACATGTTTTTGGTGTATAATCTCTCCTTAAAACTCAACATTTTCGGAATTTAGAAGATAGAAGATGAAGAGTGCATAAAAAGTGGGTTTTTCTCCCAAAACTTACAAGAAAAAGAAAGAGATGAATGTGTTACCTTGTTTGTGGATGAAATGGATGAAATATCTTCAAAACTCTTGCCAAAATGATGAAGATTAAGTTGAAAATCGGCTGAATCAGATGGAGGATGATGATGTTAACTCAAAGTGACCCTTGGGTTTTAGGGAGAGAGAGAGGAGAGGGAGTTTGAATTTTGAAATGAGATAATGAGTTGTAAGTGGAAAAAATATGGTATTTATATGTGGGTATAGGAGGGGGGCCTGCCATGGGAGCCCAAGCCCATCCTCTATATATATATATATATATATATATATATATATTTTTTTTTTTTTTTAAACTTAAGCCCAAAATGCTAAAATGTCATTTTTCTCAATTTTGATATTTTTCTTCAAATTATAAACCCATGATGACTAAATCCATTTAAATAGAAAGGTTTTACATTTAAAACACTAACATTTGGTACTGTATAAGACGTTTCAGATAATTTCGAGTCAAAACCGGACTTTCAAAGCAACTGCCGGAAATTCTTAAATTTTTTTGACTAAACTAACCTAAGTAATTCCTTATCTATAAATTAACTTCAATAACACTAATATAATCTTAATAAAAGCTAACCTGGGATTTCGAATTTGACTGCTGTCATAATATTACTAATATTATTATTACTAATTAGATTTAATAACTTTGAATCATCACTTCTTCGTGACTTGATGAATTAGAGATATTATTCTTGTTAGAAATAATAA